TTGCAAAATGATTTCAACAGTACATTAAAAAGACCATTCATCATGATCCAGTGGTATTTATTCCAGGGATGCAAGGATGATTCAGTATCTCCAAATCAATCATTGAGATGCACCACATTAAGTAATGAAAGATAAAAATCGTGTGATCATCTCAACAGATGCAGAAAAAACATTTCACAAAATTCGGCATCCATTCATGAGAAGCACTCTCAACAAAGTAGATATAGAAGGAACATACCTCAACACAATAAAGGCCATACATGAAAAACAACAAACATCGTACTCAATGTTAAAAAGCTGAGAGGTTTTCTTCTAAGATCAGGAAGGCAAGGGTTCTTTTATTTCAGTACAGTACTGTAAGTACTAACCACAGAAATCAGACAAGAAGAATACATAAATGGCATCCAAATTGGTAAGGAAGAAGTAAAACTGTCACTATTTGCAGATGACATAATACTATATACTACATAGTATACTGTATATAAAAAACCCTAAAGACCACCAAAAAAACTACTAGAATTAATAAATTCAGTAAACATGTAAGATATAAAAAGCAATTACAGAAATCTGTTGTGTTTCTACACAACAATGACAAAATATCAGAAAGAAAATTAGGAAAACAATCCCATTTACAATTGCACTGGAAAAAAACTGTTTAGGAATAAATTTAACCAAGGTGAAAGACCTGTATCTGAAAACAATAAATGACTGATAAAAAATGGAACAGAACATAAGTAAATGGTAAGATATACCCTCCTCATTGTTAGAAGAATTAATATTGTTAAAATGTCCACACTACTCAAACCAATCTACAAATTCAATGCAATGACTATCAAAATACCAACAGTATTTTTTACAGAATTAGAACAAATGATCCGAAAATTTGTATGGAACTACGAAAGACCCCGAATAGACAAAGCGATCCTGAAAAAGAAGAACAAAACTGGAAATATCACAATCCCAGATTTCAAATTATATTACAATGTTATACAAATCAAAATAGCACATTTGTCCAAAAAACACATATAGACGGTCAATACACATTAAAAGATGCTTAATATCACTAGTTATCAGGGAAATGGAAATCAAAACAACATGATACCACCTCACACGAGTCAGAATGGCTAAAATCAAAGTCAAGAAATAACCTTTGGTGAAGATGTAGAGAAAAGGAAATCCATGTGCACTGTTTGTGGAAATGGAAATTGGTGCAACCACTGTGGAAAACACTATGAAAGCTCCTCAAAAAATTAAATATAGAAAATACATATGATCAAGTAATTCCATTACTGGGTATATATGCAAAGAATGCAAAAACACTAATTCAAGAAGATATATGCACCCCTATGTTTATTGCAAGATTATTTACAAAGCCCAGACATCAAAGCAACCTGTGTCCATTGACAGATGAATTAAAAAGATGTGAAATATACATGCAATGGAATATTACTCAGCCATAAAAAGGAATGAAATCATCCCATTCACAAAAACATGGATCGACCTAGAGGGTATTATGCTGCATAAGATAAATCAGATGGAGAAAGACAAATATCATATGACTTCACCTGTATGTGGATTCTAAAAAACAAAACAAATTCATAAACAAAAAAAAAAACAGAAACAGTCTCATAAACACAGAGAACAAACTGGTGGTTGCCAGAGGAAAGGGGGTAAGGGATGGAATAGGCAAAATAGGTGAAGGGAATTAAGAGTAACAAACCACCACTTATAAAATAAATGTCACAAGCGTGCCTGGGTAGCTCAGTGGGTTAAGAGCCGGACTCTTGGGTTTTGGCTCAGGTCATGGGTTGTGAGATCGAGCCCTGAACCCCACAATGTGCTCTACACTCAGCAGGGAGTCTGCTTAAAGATTCTCTCCCTCTGCCCCTCCCCCCCACTCTCGCTGTCTTAAATAAATAAATCCTAAAAAAAAATAAATAAAATAAAATAAATGTAGCAGAGGTGAAAGGTATAACATAGAAAATATAGTCAATAATATTATAATGTTGTATGGTGACAGATGGTAACCGCACGTATGATGAACGTTGCATAATGCATTATGTAGAGAATTCTCCAATCACTAAATTGTATATGTGAAACTAGTAACATTATATGTCAACTATTTCAAACTAAGCAAAATGTAAAAAAAAAAATTTTAATAAAAAAATCGAAGATGAAACATAAATAGAAAGATATATATAAAGATATATACATATATAAAGATATATACATATATAAAGATATATATATACATATTATGATCATAGATTGGAAGAATGAATATTGTTAAAATGTCTATAATACACAAAGCAACCCACAGGTTTAATGCCATTCATATGAAAACACCTATACTGGGGTTTTTTTGTTGTTTTTCTGATAAGCTTTATTTTAATTCCCGTATAGTTAACATACAGTGTTATATTAGTTTCAGGGGTACAATATAGTAACTCAACAATTCCATACATCACCCAGTGCTCATCGAGACAAATGCACCCCTTAATCCCCATCACCTTATTTCACCCATCCCTCCACCCATCTACCCTCTGGTAACCATCAGTTCGTTCTTTATACTTAAGAGTCTGTTTCTTGGTTTGTCTCTCTCTCTCTCTTTTTTTCTTTGCTCATTTGTTTTGCTTCTTAAATTCCACATATGAGTGTATAGCATTATACTCCCTAACTCCATCCATGTCATTGTAAATGGATTCACAGAATTAGAACAAATAAACCTAAAAATTCCTTGGAACCACAAAAGAATCAGAATAGTCAAAGCAACCTTAAGAACAAATCTGGAGGTATCACACCACCAGATTTCAAACTATACTACAAAGCAATAGTAATCAAAGCAGAACGGTACTACAGGCAAAAACACAGGTACATGGATCAATAGAATGTAACAGCCAGGGGCGCCTGGGTGCCTCAGTCGGTTAAACGGCTGCCTTTGGCTCAGGTCATGATCCCAGAGTCCTGGGATCTAGCCCCACGACAGACTGCCTGCTCAGTGCGGAGTCTGCTTCTCCCTCTCCCTCTGCCCCTCTCCCCTGCTCATGCTCTCTCGAATGTGCACGTGTGCGCTCTTGCTCTCTCAAGTAAATAAATAAAATCTTAAAAAAAAAAAAACAGCCCAGAAATAAAACCAAGCTTATATGATCAATTAATCTATGACAAAGGGGACAAGAATATACAATGGGGAAAAAAACAGTCTCATCAATAAATGGTGCTAGGAAAATGAACAGCTACATGCAAAAGAATGAAACTGGACCACTTACTTGCACAATACACGGAAATAAACTGAAAATAAACAAAAGACCAAAATGTAAGAGGCGCCTGGGTGCTTCAAACAGTTAAGCATCTGACTCTTGATCTGAGCTCAAGTCTTGATCTCAGTGTCATTAGTTCAAGCCCCATGTTCGGCTCTAGGATGCGCATGGAGCCTACTTAAAAAATAATAATAATAATAAAATAAAATAAAATAACAAAATAAAGACCAAAATGTAAGATCTGAAACCATAAAGCTCCTAAAAGAAAACACAGAAAACTTACAGACATCAGCCATAACAATATTTTTCTGGATATGCCTCCTCAGGCATGGGAAATAAAAGCAAAAATAATTAAATGGGACTACATCAAACTAAAAAGCTTTTGCACAGCAATGGAAATGAGCAAAAAAACAAAAAGGCAACCTCCAGAATAGAGAAAAAAATTGTAAATCATGTATCTGATAAGAGGTTAATATTCAAAATTTATAATCAACGCATACAACTCAACACCAAAACAAAAATCAAATCAAAACAGGGCAGAGTACCTAAATAGACATTTTTCTTTAAAAAAAATTACATATGGCCAATGAACACATAAAAGATGCTCAACATCACTAAATACCAGGGAAATGCAAATCAAAACCCCAATATCACGTAACACCAGTCAGAATGCCCAGGGTCAAAAAGAGAAAAAATAAGTATTGCACAGGATGTGTAGAAAAGGGAACGCTTCTGAATGTTGGTGGGAAGGTAAGTTGATGCAGCCGCTATGAGAAACAAGTGTGGACATCCCTAAAAAACTAAAAATACAGGTATCATACAATACAGTAATTCTGGGTATTTACCCAAACAAAAACAAAAACACTAATATGAAAAAACATATTCATCCTAATGTTTACTCCAGCATTATATACAATAGCAAAGATACGGAATCAACTTATGCGTCCATCCATGGATGACTGGATAAAACAGATGTGGTATATATGCACAATAGAATATTTACTCAGCCATACTGAAGACTGAAACCTTAGAATTGGTGCTAATGTGGATGGACCCAGATGGTATTATGCTACAAGAAATGTCAGAGAAACACAAATATCATATTATTTCGCTAATAAGTGGAATCTAAAAATCAAATCAACACACAAAACAGAAACAGAATCAAAAAATGTAGAGAACAAACGAGGTTGCCCGAAAGGAGGAGGTGGGGGATGGGCAAAATAGCTGATGGCAATTAAGAGGTGCGAAATTGCAGTCAGAAAATAAATACGTCTCCGCAATGAAAAGTATAGCATAGGGAATATAATCAATGATGTAATAATAACTTTCTATCTGATGGTTAACTACAGGTCCTTGGTGAGCAATTCCAAATATATATAATTGTCGAATCACTACGCCGTACATTTGAAATTACGATAATATTTTAGGTAAAGTACATTTCTATTAATTTTTTTTACGTAAAAACCAAAAAATATACACACGAAAATTAAAATAAAATAATAACTTAAAAACAATGATAAAATAAGACAATATAAAATACACTGTAAAATATAATATACAATAAAAAAATGAATAAGGGAAAAATACAATATAAAACGAAAGAAAAACAAAACCCAAAATAAACAGTAAAATGAAATATAAAATAAAATGATAAAATTAAAAAAACCCAGCATCCCTCTAGCGTCTGACACTGTTAAATTACACAAATAAGAGAAATAGCACGATATCACTCAAGATACATACCAGAGGTGGTTTCAAAAATTGCTGTTTACAAGCAAACGTCCTGGAATCAGACGCGAAGATGGTGCGCGGAGAGCTCCTGAGAACACACCTTGAGAGGGAGATGCAGGACGGAGTCGAGGGCCCACAGCTAAGGGCTGAGGCCACCCAGGTCTCTGCGGGGAGGAAGGAGGTGAGTCAGAGCGGCGGCGACGCAGGAAGCCGGCAGCTTCGCGGGGCTGGGGGAGCTTCGAAGAAACGCTATGCTTCCCCCATCCCGAGGCGGCACCCCGGAACCACTGCTAGCACACGAGGGGGCCACCCGATCTCGGATCCGGGAGCTCGCCGACGCCGGGGCTCACAGAGCCCGCGGCGGCGCCACGACCCAAACCGGGGGGACCGGGGGAGACATTTTGGGTGCACCGGCAAAACTCGTCCCCAAGGCTGGGGTCGTCCTGGCAACAACAAGAGTGGTGTGTGCCAGTGTAAATAACCCGATCGGGCAACAGGTACACAGCCTCGGTTCCGCAGGAGCCCCTCTCTCTCCCCGAGTCCCAGTGGACAAAAACCCACGTCCTTTCTCGGCCGCCGACTTGGAACGACTGCACGCAAGGACCGCGGGCCACCGGCACGGTGTCGCCGAAAGGTGCCGGGCAGCTGGGAGCCGGCGACCGAGCGATGCTGGGCCCTCGGCCTCTGGGGCGCGGGGGAAAGGGAGGACCGAGAGCCCAGCGCCGGCCTTGAAGGGGGTCCCGTCTCGTGGCACCTTGGCGGACGCAGGACGCAGGGCGCAGGACCCTCCGGCCGGAATGCCGTCGCCGCGTCTCCTCCGCCCAAAGGGCCGGCACCGGACGCAGCTTGCGGAGCACCAGCAGCTAGCTGCACGCCCGGCTGCCGCTTCTCCGGGAGCCCCGTGAGTAGCCCCTTAGAAGTGTCCCCTCCAGAAGGGTCCCGGGTGGGCCTCAGCTCCTCCCCGCGGCTGCGGCTCAGCCCCGCCTGCAAGCACACCGTTCTCTCCCTGGAGGCTGACGCCACCCGGTCTTGCACGGCGGCGCGGTCCCGCTGGGGCACGGGGTGGGGGCGGGGGGGAGTGCGGGGGAAGATGGGGTGCTGCAGGGCACGGTGGGCCTTTGGAAGCCGGCCGTGGGCGCTTGGGGAACTTCGGAGAGGGCCGTGGCCTCCTGATGGTGGCTCAGGGGCGCGGCTGCATGAAAGCGGCAGGCCTCCTTGCCTTTCTGGAGGAACGGCGCCGTCCATCACTTGCACCGACCCCGTACCACGCGCAAAACAAATACGCCGAGCGTGAATTGCTTAACTTTATTGAAAAGACAGCAGGTGCCCCCAAATAAGGGTCCGTGAATTTGCACTTCTCTTGCATACATTGAGTGAACTGCTCTTGGCGGCGAGCTACACAGAATGGGGCTGGGCTCAAAAGCACCGTGGGAACAAACCGTCACGGAGGCCATTCCGTGGGAAAAGGGCTTAGAAGAAAAACACGGACGGTAGGAACCTGGGCGGGACCACAGCAGGGCAGCCGCAGGGAGGGAGGGGTGGAGGAACCCAGGGCACAGGAGGCAAGAAGACAACAGGAAAGAGCGGCATGGGAGGCTGAGGCGGTCCCACCGGCCGCGGCTCGGGGACCACGCGTAGGCAATTCGGCTCCGGAATGAAGAAGGCATGGCAGGGTCCACCCACGTTGATGATGACGGGGGGGACCATGGCCACGGGGGGGACCATGGCCACGGGGGGGACCATGGCCCTGGGGGGGACCATGGCCCTGGGGGGCATGTTTCTGAACCTCAGTGCCCTCTGATGTCTCCTCCACGTGGCCCTCCTATTCTTAAACCAAACCTTCAATCAGAGAGAAAAAGGGATCGTTTTAGTACGTTGAGCACTGGATGTCGTACATGAAAAAACAAGCAGGCTACTTACTCTCTATGCCCTTAAGCTTTGAAACTGCATCAGGGGAGCTATTTCCTTCTTGCTAAAATCGCTTAGGGAAGCCAGGGCCACGGGCCCCCCTGCAGCTCACCCCGAGAGGGCACCCACGCTGTGCCACGCTGTGCCAGGCTCTGGCTCGGCTCTCTGCTTTGACTCTGTCCTCCCACCTTGCCTATTACTTTTCCCCGTTCTCAGCAGCAGGTGTAGCTGAGGAACGGCGCTCTGTCCCCGCCGTGGCTGTTACACCTGGGATGTCTGTGTCCTCACAGCTGACCAGCAGCTGTCCAGCTGCCCCTGGCCCCTAGTCACTAGGCAGGGGTCACCCTGCTTATGGGGGAAGCTCAGCATCGTCCAAGAGTCCTGCTGAGGGGAACAAAGCCCGTTTTGAAAAGCCCATCCTGAACCAAGAGTAATCACGTCATCCACAGGAACGTGCCGGATCTTTCAACAACAGCAGCATTCCTTTCAGGATGACTGAAGGGTCGCTCATCTTCTGAAACCGCTTCAGAGTGAAAAAGATGCTGTTGTGAGCGAGGCTGGGGCATGGAGGGTCCGGGAGCCTGTGGCTGGTCCTGCTGGGACAGGAGGAAGCTGAAGCGCTGGACACTACCTGAGTATTACAGACGTTGGGGACAAGGCATGTTTACACGAACTAGGACCAGATTTACTAAGTTCGTAAAATCCTTGTCCAGCCAACAGATCGGGAGCAAAGAGGCTCACCGCCGTCACCGTGGTGGTGGATTCTGCAGCCTCCAGCCCGCACCACCCTCCAGGCTTTCCTGGGCTCAGCCCCCGGGCAGCTCCCTCCGCTCTGGCTACGGTTCCAGCACCCTGGACAGGACCCCTGCTGCCCAGCGCGGCAGGGCCCCCGAGGCCCCTCTACTCAACCAGGAGAGCCCCATCCCATCCCTTATCCTCTTTTCTGTTGTTCACTGAGCGACAGTTGACATACAATACTGTATTCGCCTCAGGTGTACAACATAGTGATTCGACGCTTCTCTGCAAAATGCTCGCCACGGTTAAGTGTAGTCACCATACAAAACGATTACAATATTATTGACTATATTCCTTACGCTGTCCTTTTCATCCCCGCACCGGATTTATTTTTCAACTGAAGTTGGTACCTCCTAATCCCCTTCACTTATTTTTCCCATGCCCCCACCCCCTCCCCTCTGGCAACCTCCATTTTGTCCTCTGTAAATGAGTCTGTATTGGCTCTGTTTGTTCATTAGTTTGTTTTTAAGAGTCCACATATATGGGACGCCTGGGTGGCTCAGATGGTTAAGCATCTGCCTTCAGCTCAGGTCATGATCCCAGGGTCCTGGGATCGAGCCCCGCATCGGGCTCTGTGCTCAGCAGGGAGCCTGCTTCTCCCTCTGCCTGCCTGTCTACCTACTTGTGATCTCTCTCTCTCTCTCTCTCTCTGTCAAATAAATAAATAAAATCTTAAAAAAAAAAGAGAGTCCACATATAAGTGCAACCATACAGTATTCTTAAGGCAAGAGGGTGAAACTGACATGGCAGGAAGACAGTCAACCACCATGTGGGTGAGGAGTCACAAAATGGCTCCTCCCTAGTATCTGCCAACTATGAACCCTACAGATAAAACCTGTGCTCTGGGCTCCACTGTCCTCTCCGCATCCTAGGTAGTGGAATTTCTTTGTATTTAATATCTGTAGACATTCCCGGTTTGCAAATGTCACTTGACACAAAGGGGGCCTCTACTCTCTCTGTTGCCTCATTTCCCCTCTGCCATCCTAGTATTTGGTCTTTCTGCTGCATGAATATGCCGTCTAAAAACACCAGTGCCGTGGACCTCATTTTGGGGGGATCCAAGTTTACCGGAGGCCAAATCTACATAAATGCCAGGTAGCCTAGCTGAGGTATACTCTGATAGTCCTTCCGTATTTCTAATACCGGATTCATGAAACAGCTCTTACTGCACTTGGGGGCACATCCATTAAGCTCTTCTTCACACAAACACGTTATGATCTCAGTTATGTGGGGAATCTGAAAAAACCCAACCAACTCATGGAAAAAGAGACCAGACTTGTGACCACTTTTAGAGGGGTTGGCTGGAGGAACTGCCTGAAGGTGGTCAAAAGGTAAAAACTTCCAGTTTTAAGATAAGTAAGTACCAGGACTCTAATGTAGCCTAAGGACTATACTTAACACCACCTTATGGTATCTATGCCAGTTAAGAGATTCAATTTTAAGACTTCTAATCACAAAGAACAAACTGCTTATTTTTCTTTTTGTCTTTTTCCTTTCTTCTCTGTCTCTCTAGGACATGATGGATGGTAACTAAACTTACTGTGGTAAACATTTCACAATAGATGGAAGTCAGATCATTATGCTGTACACCTTAAATTGATCCAGGACTCTATGTAACTTATGTCTTAATAAAACTGGGAAAAACTTCTTTGAAAATTGAAAGCGCTGGGGCGCCTGGGTGGCTCAGTGGCTTAAGCGTCTGCCTTCAGCTCAGGTCATGATCCCAGGGTCCTGGGATCGAGCCCCGCATCGGGCTTCCCGCTCAGCGGGAGGCCTGCTTCTCCCTCTCCCTCTGCCTACTGCTCTCCCTGCTTCTGCTCGCTCTCGCTCTCTCTCAAATAAATAAATAAAGTCTTAAAAAAAAGAAAAGAAAATTCAAAGTGCTGTAGAGTTTGGAAACAAATGAGACCGTGATGTGTTTTTCCTCGTTCGTGTCTTGCGGCTCCTTTTCCCTTCAGAGCCCGACTGAGAGGGCACAATGCAAGCCCGAGGAGGGGAACATCAACTCCCCCAAACTTAAGGGTATCTGTTCCTCTGAGCTTGCCTGGCCTGCTCCACAAAGCAGAGAGGCCTGGGCCTCCCAGGTCTGGGCACCCCTGGCTGCGAGCCCAGCCCCTGGTCTCGGGGGCCTGCTTTGTAGGCTGCCTCTCTGGCCTCCCCACCTCTCTTCTGCTGCCCCCTTTCTTTCACAAATTACCCTCTGTGCATGCAGCGAAGCTAATAAACCCACCCTGAGTTTTCCTTTTCTCTCTTTCCCTCTTATTTCTCTTCTCCCCCCGCCACCCCCCCACCCCCGCCGCCAAATTATCCTTTCATTCCACTTAGGCTGTCTGTGGTCTCAATCACCCCTTGAGCCATTGACCCACCAATTAGCCATCACTGACTGGGCCAATGAAAAAGTCTTTCCTTGGACGCCTGGGTGGCTCAGATGGTTAAGCGCCTGCCTTCGGCTCGGGTCATGATCCCAGGGTCCTGGGATCGAGTCCCACATCGGGCTCCCTGCTCAGCGGGGAGCCTGCTTCTCCCTCTCCCTCTCTCTCTCTCTCTGTCTCTTATGAATAAATAAATAAAATCCTTAAAAAAAAAAAAAAAGAAAAAGTCTTTCCAATCAGGACACGTCAGAATCCAGCCTGAACTAAGAGCCAGTGCCCACTAGTGACAAATTCCACACAATCTCTTCATAAAAGGACCACAAGAGGAAGATCAAAGTCTCAGGTGTCAGACATTCCTCACAGGAATATTCACCAATGCGTTTGGTTGGTTCAGAGCTTGGAATGTGAGTCATATCCCCAAGGCATCTTTCTGGCCTTAGGCTTCCACCTGTGTGGATCGGCCTCCACCTTTGTTAGCTTGGTGGAACCTTGTTTGAAATTGTTGTTTTCGTTTCTTTTCTCTTGTAGACAGATTTCAAAGGTGGTACCTCGCCCCCCCCACCCCATCTCCACCGTAATGCACAGTCTACTGTTTAACAAGGTTTTCAGGCTGACTATCAAGGCGTTCCAGAAAATGAAGATGTAGGCCTGCCACTCTCCACACCTGTTTACCAAATACTTAAAAGCAACAGCTCTAAAAGTAAATTAATGAAATTTAAAATCTTTTAAATAAAATAAAATATTTTTTGAAATTAAAAAGTAAAATTGCCTTCGTCTGAATCCTAGAGCAAGAAATCATATATATTAGGGCGCCTAGAGTGGCTCA